AAGTGTTGTCCAAACTCTGCTACTCTCTGTGAGCTCTTTCTTACTTGTGTATCTGATGATTCTTTAGGTGGTTTCAAGATCACTAAGGCTCATGTGAAAAATTGTTCATGGTGGCCCACATTTTTCTTCAGTTTGAGAATACTGTTACTGAAAATGATGTTGTTTTTAGATGATTTCATCCTAATCTGTTTTGGAAAACAACTATTTTTAGCACTCCAATAACTTGTTTTGTGTGCATGGAAAATCAGCAGGGAATCAAAATTCCATTTTCACCATTGTACCTTTGTACCTTTTGGAGATATTGAGTATGATTTGTTTTGTTTTAAAAATAAATGGATGATTCGTCCTTCTGAAGATCATCTGCAGGAACATAGAGATGTGTGTGGCCTCCTAACATCTACTTCCAGTTGCAACCAGATGGCCATCTTATTTTGAGGTACGTATGGATCATTGGTTCTAATTAGGCTGGCTTTTAATATCTGCTAATCCAGCTTTATGGCACTCTTTTATGTGCATCCTGTTGGTGGTGGCAAATTTGTATGCAGATCTTAGTTAGCTACAAGTGATTCTGGGAAATGTGATTTCCACCTTCTCTTCTTTATACATAGGAGATGATGGGGATGGACTTGCCCAGAGCCAATTGATCCAGTCATCAAACATATTTGTCACTTGTTTGTTAGAGAGGCTGCCTCCGACCCCAGTCACCTCTGTGCTCAAGCAAGACGAAAAGGTGAGGCCCTGAGTCCTGTCTGCCCTGAGTCTCCCCAACACCTCAGCCTTCTTCCTGCTTGGCCTTCTGCGTTCTCCCTGGCATGGTGGAGTTGGAGAGGAGGGGAAGACGTTCTTACTGGGCAGGCAGCCCTGGTGAGCTAGGGATCCGGATCAAGCAGGACAAACTTTATTTTCCGAACTCCCAGGAACACCACCCACGCGGCCCTCCTAGGCACACCACACACCAACCAGAACTCCCTCCACCAGAACTTCACCAACCAACGAGAACTCCCCAGGAATCCCCAGGAGAACTGCAAAGTAGCAGGCGCCAGGGGCGGACAGCAGGGGTCTATATACAGTTGAATACCCAGCCTGTTGCAATCCAGCATCATCTTAATGGCTCGCCTCTTAACCATGACTTCTGGTAAAATGCCAGGGGCCATTCCGACTGGCTGAGGCTCTCCACAAGTACCTCCTGCCACTAAACAAGGAGCCTGCCCCAGACCTGCTCAGCTGTAGACCTGGGAGGAAATGCCTCTCCCTGGGTTCCTACACCTGTGGGTGTCAGATGCCTTCTACAGAAGAAGCCAGAGGCCCACATTTTGTTAATTTTATAAATGAAAAAGTTACAAAAAAATGTGTATAAAAACATAAAACAGACTTTTCCCCCAACTTTGCTGCCATAGAAACATGGGACGTTTGGTCCACGTGTAGGTTGTCCTACCACCCGATGCTCAAAATGAATCCAGTTGAGGGGCCCAAGACTGAAATAGGCTTAGATTGGTGCCGTTATTTAAACTTAGAACTAGACTCAGTCAGTGGTGAGAAACTATATTTTTCTTACAAAAATAAAAAGCAGAACGTGGGATTTAAATCTTGCAGACTCTGAGTATCTCTTCAGCGTTTCTCACACGTCTCCTTGGAAGACAGAGAGCCTGCTTGTTCCTGGAATCCCATTTCCCTTCCTGCCCCTTCAGCTGTCGCCTCCCGACCCCTGCATTGTGTCGCATCTCAAAACAAAGAAACATCTACATTTATCGGTGAGACTCATATGTTTCTATTTTAACTGAAAGTAAGACAGATGCATAAAATTTAACAACATGATGCAGTGAAGAGAGAATATAATAGTGCCAACACATACTGATAAGAGTTGAGCAAAGCTAAGAATATAAGCATTTGGGACAAAACTAATATGAATTTATGTCTACCAGGCTGTTTCATGATTAGAAATGGGATATTGCTCACCTTGAACTTCTGCCATTGGTAGAGAAGACTGGAATAGTTTGAGAGAAAATTATATCATCCTGGGTTCAAATTGCCACAGAATAAATTGTCTTTGGATGGATTCAGTCCTCATCCTCGTTCTGAAACTGTGATGGACAGCAGGGATTTGTCGGTGTTCAAGCAACGCACTCTCTCTGACTTTCAAGTGTGTCATGTTTCTCTATATGGCTTGGAAATACTAACTCTTGTGTGTTTTTGCTGTTTCTGCATTTTTTTAAACAAACCAGCACATCTTATTTGTAAATAAAACTGTGTTATCACAGATCTATTTAGTTATTCTTTTCTGTCTCTGATATTCGAATCAGAGACGGGAGGAGAAACCACAGCCCTATAGCTTCTGGCTGAAATTTCTATTAAAATGGAATGAGATTAAGCCCACATTGAATTTGTATTTAGATAACCTTGTCACTTTTCATTACCTAATTCTAAACAGTTATGAATAAGTGAGAGCCCCAGTGCTCCTTCCAGGGTGATGCCAATGGAAGGGAAATCAACAGTGTCTACACCAAATTGTGTTATTATTGCGTGCCTCAGCAGCTAACAGGTTCTATTTGAGCAGGACTGATAAGCTATCCTCAGATTTTTGGTGGGATCAAAATTTATCATTAAGACTTCTTTGTTGACCAGTATGTTAGAATAACTCTTTTAATTAATCTGAACTTTAATAATTTGAAATTTCCATTCTTCCTTAACAGAATACAAGTGCTCCTGCCCAACAAGCAGCCCCCAGGGCCTGGGCAGTTAAGGGATAGCCCTGCAGGCTGCCCATAAGGACAGAGCTCCCACTCAGCCCTGACCAGGAATAGCAGGGACAGGAACCATGGCCATCTTCAATGACTGCCCTGTGCTTTGAAAAATCACCTTTCAGAAGAATGCACCATGGCGAGCACAGTCACTGAGAGCATTTCTTAGCCCTGACCAGTGAGAGTCGGCATATCCTATCCAAATCTATTTTCCAAAATGGCACTAGTTTCTTAATATGCTACAACAGAGGCCACCGAACTGTAGCCTACAAGCCAAATCCCAATGCATACTTTGTACCATAAACTATGAATGGTCCTGATGTTAAAAAGTAATGGTTTGAAAATATCAAAAGAAGAAAATTTCATGATACATGAAAATTATGAAATCCAGATTTTGGTCCATAGCTACAGTTTTATAGACCCACAGTGACACTTATTTACATACTGTCTGAGGACTTTGGACTGCACGGGCAGAGGGCTCCAGCCGGGTAACTGAGTCAGCTTGCACACCAGCTGAGCCCTCTGAGGCTGTCCCATCTAAACCTGGCTAAGGATGCCTCATGTGACAGGCTGAGGTCCAGGCCCATTCCAGCAGGGTGACTAATTACGGGTCCCTTTGTGTCACTATCTGAGAAAATATTGCCAAGTGTGGCCACCGACACCTCTGTGGAGGGATCTCCACTGGCTGGGGAGGCGGTGAGAGTGCCTACCATTTTTCAAAATTGTTTTTAAGACATTTTTCTTATGACCAGATGACTTCATTATGACTGGATGAGTAGCACATCAGAAGGAAACCCATACGTTAGAGTCGCAGATACAGCAAGGTAAGCGCACGTCTGCACAGTGCTTATGTTTGAGCAGGTGCCGTCCATCCTGGCCCAAGGCCCAGCAGTGCAGGGCCAGCTAGCCTCAGGTCCAGTCTCTACTCCCCAGAGGCTGGGGCTGGTTCCCAGGGGAAGCAGGGGACAAAAAGAGAGGGGCTTGCTGCTGGCACAGGAGTCTGGAGGCTGCCTCGGGGTCTCTGGCCCTGGCCTGATGCCCACAGCCCCAGGGAAGATGGTGGGTGACCTGATTCCCTTCCTCTGCTGTTACCCATGACTTGTCGTGATCCCAGGTGGGGGCATTCCATGTCTTCTCCTAATTCCCTGAACTTCCCACCACAGCTAAAGCAAAGAGGAGTCTTGCCACAGGCCCGGACCTCACCTGCCAACCCAGGGTGAAAGCAGCACGGCCCAGCCTCTGGGGGTCACGGTGTTCCAAGTCAACGGCCTGACAGGGACTCCACCCGAGGGTCATCTTTAACAGTCATCTCCCAGACTCTTCTGCAACCTCAGCTGTTTCCTCTCCTCATTATAAGCCTGATCCCTCTTCCGTAGCACGACCCACTGTCACAGGTAAGGCAGCTGTCACGTTTCAGCCTTCATTTCCTAGTCAGTCACTCCTGTGTCTTCTGGTTCTTCCATGTAAACCCATCTGCACACCCTCCCACACAGGACACACCTTCCTTAGCTGCTCCGTAGTCTGGAGACTGGGCGTGCTACGTTCAACCACAAAACCTCCTACGAGGATTATGCCGCAGATGCTCAGATGTGTCATTTGATATTTTGCTTGGTTTCGTACCTTTTCAGCACCTGTTTCTAAGCAAAACACTAAAAATGAGCACAAAGACTAATCAAGGTAGTGCTTTGGGGCATAGACCGTTTTTTTCTCAGAAGCGCTTTGTTAATTAACAGAAGAATCTACAAATACTTAGAACTTACTCTATCTCACAAACATGTGGCACCAAGTATCACTCAAGGTTAAAAACAAAATTATTTCAAAATACTTCGCTAAGATGTGGCACATAATATGTAGGAAGAAAGGCTGAAGAAATGAAATTAGCCCATAATTACTTAGAGCTGAAGAGTCAAGTACTAAAGAAACCTAGCAGAATAATGATGTTCTGATTGCAGAGTGACTTACTGCTTGAGGCCCTCAAGAGTAAACACTAAACTCTGCATCTTTATTTTTGGCTCAAAAAATGAGGACAAACAGCATTTCCTTTTGTTATTTCTGAACCAATTCCAATTTGGAACATGTTACAAGCACCACCAAGGAAAGAGGCCTAATATCTAAAGCAGAACAATAGAAGTTAAAAATGCACCTGGGAAATAACAAGGTAATGTTTAGCCTGGGTAATTCGAGTTAATGGATCTATAGACCAGCAATCTGGATCGCAGTCAGCCAGCAGGGACTGCGGTGGAACCCAGAGCCCTGGTGTTAGAAACGACTGTTAGATGACAAAAAGATACGGTTTGCAATCGGCAGTAGACAAATCCAGTGTGGCTGACGTTCAGTGCACCTCCATGACACCGGGTGTGATAAAATTTGAAGGGATGCAGGAGAGCGACTGTCGGGGGAAGAGAAGAATTTGTTGAGAAGATATTTTCAGCCAACCAGAGTGTGCAGGGCACTGCAGCCCCACTGTGATAGGAAAAAGCCGGCTACATCGTAGGGGATGTCTGATCAAGAGCATGGTGTTAGGGAATCACCGTGTGATTCCATGCACATGACATAGGCACAGAAAAGAAGCAGCTTCCATGGGAGGCCTGCACTGGATACTGGAAAGATGTGAACAGGAAGGGAGAAAAACAAGTTGATTCAAAGACAGACGGACAGAACCAGAGTTTGAAATTCAGAAGTGGTACCACTGAACACGTAGGTGTCACGCTAAGTGGTTGTCGCATTCTGCCTTACTTCCAATATGTAGCAGCTTGTTCCCGTTCCCTTTAATATCAGTAGGACCATAGAGCAAGACAGATGGCACTAATAGCCCTCAATGCCAACATTCAAAATTCCCTGCCCAACTGTAACAATAATGTCCTTTCAAATTTTAATAACACCTGTCACCCAGGGGACTCATGACCCTCCTCGAATTTCATTTTGTGCAGTTTTTCCCGTAGGTTGGTTGTCTGTTTTGTTATTCTCTGCCAAGGAAGAATCATTTTGGGTGTGCAAACGGGCTGTTATTAGGATTCAACATTGGTTGACACAATTTTAAAAGTCTTGTATAGTATTTGAACTCACAATTCCCTACACATGGGATTATAGTGTATTTTATTACCATATTAATATTTACCAGTCTGTATCTTGGCAATTAATGTATTCATAGAAGGCAAAATCTAAAGGTGCTGGGCTGGGGATGTGGCTCAAGCGGTAGCACACTTGCCTGGCATGCGTGCGGCCCAGGTTCGATCCTCAGCACCACATATAAACAAAGATGTTGTGTCTGCCAAAAACTGAAAAAAAATAAATATTGAAATTCTCTCTCTCTCTCTCTCTCTCTCTCTTTTAAAAAAAAATCTAAAGGTGCTGTATCCCTCAGCCATGAGCAAAAAGCATTGCCATTTTAATGTGGTCACTCCTGTGCATCTTATTGCCTTGGAACTGAGAGCCACAGGACATAAGACTACCCCAGTTATTCACATGGGAATCTTTAATAGGACAAGGGCCCATGGATTCATTGAACAAAAATTCTCCTGCTGAAGGAAACAGAGAGCAGCCTGGGATCCACCCCAACACACGCCTTTGATCCATGATGCTCTATACTCTCATGTTCCCCTGCCACATCCTGTCACCTCCCCATGCCTCCAGACACCCCAGCCAATTGCCTCTGTACTTAGGAGAGCCCATAACAGGATCAATGACTTTATTACCAATCATTCGTGGGTTTTTTTTTTTTTTGAGCAAAAGAAGCACCTATTTGTAATCCACTGATAAGACAAACCTGAAGTTCTCTCCAGCCTTAAATATAATGTGGGTATCTACAGTTGATCTAGGGGGCATTTAACTATTGGGTCCCAATTCAATCATTTCATCGAAGATGTCAGAAGTGGCCTTTGATCTTTGATGTATCGATTTTGTCACTTTCCATATGCAACTTGGTGAGTTAGTGTTGGTGACAGGGCTCATGGCAGGGACTGGCTCTACCCCCCCCCAACAATTCAGCAGAGCTGGCAACAGCAGCAATGACTGCTACAGCTGCCACTCATGGGGCCATCCTGGGCCACCTCTGTGGCCTGTACACTGTTTCTGGGAATCCTAGGAGTGGACTTGTCACCACCCCCACAGAGGTGACCAAACAGAGGTACAGAGAGGTGAAGATCCTTCCCCCAGGTGCACAGGCCGTCGGTGGGAAGCCCTGCACTAAATGGCATCAGCCCTGCAGGTCCTTGTTTTAACACTACACGGCTCTGTAGAAGGACCACCTGCCTCATTTTCAGGGCCAAGAACAAAATGAAATCAGGGCCTACTTGACCAAACCTTAGGAAGAAGTTCACAGCAGTGATAGAGACCATGGGACAAGGATACTGTTCCTCTACGTGGGAGCCCTGGACAAAGGTGTGGTCCCTGACCTGAGGCCAGCTCTGCTGATGAGCCTTCATTTCCTCACCAGAAGACTCGATCAAGTGCCAATGGGAGTCCTCCCGGTCAGTGACGTGACCCTGCCGGGCACTTCCTAACCTGACTGCATTTCTGCCATTAACCAACGAGAAAGGAGTGCCTATGTTTCCCAAATCAAAAGACACTTCCTAAATAGGTAACATTGGGCTTCATGGCTATGCTATACCCTGGGACCATGTGCAACCTGGAAATTGCCGTGGCTGATCCTTTCACTCTGCACAAGCACACACACATGCACATACAAGCACACACACATGCACATGCAAGCACACACACATGCACACAGAAGCACACACACATGCACATGTCTCTCAATGTATATCTCTGTTATCAAAATAAATACAATGCTACTTTCCTTAAATATGAAAATTGGCACCTCTCTAACGAAGATGATGTTAATAAATCACCAGTATTGATAGATCACAAAATCATTAAACTCAAATCATTTATTGCTGAGTTTCCAAAAGTTTGTCTTTGGGGGGAACGCTAGTGACAGAGAACTGACGGTTTTATATTCCTGTTTATTTCCTACTTTCTGCAAATCAAGGAACTTCAGATTTACTCTGTCCTCATTTTTTATATTTTGAGATACACGATTTCTAATTTTTCTCATGAAAAATGCTCATCTTATTTATTCAGGATGGTGCTGTTCGAGCCTGACATCCAATTTGGACCCCAAGTCCAAGAAGTTAAAAGTGACAATTGCTCCAGATTCTTCACTTTCACTGCATTTCACAGGATCTGGATTCTCCATCTGTCTCCTTGAACTCAGCTCGCAGGAGCCTCCTGCTAGGATCACCTCGAACCCTCACCATCCAGCTTGATTGCTCCTGTCTGGAGTTCTGAAAACAATACATCTCACCTGCGCTATAAAAGGGTTCTTGTTTGCTTAGGATTCCTAACATAATCTGCATGCGAAGTGGTCTTTAAACAATGCCTTATCATTCATTCTGTTAAAGTAAAAACATCAAGACTATTACCAGCGTTTTCTTCACTCACCTCTACTGTCATCCATGCTACACCTGGTTCCTCCCGGACACTTCTGCTCCTCACACCTATAGGAACCTAATCTTCCTATTTATTCCAGACCTGATATTTTGCTTACAGAACTACAAAATTAGCTAATTTTGGTTAATGAGCTTCAAGATAATTCAAATGTTCAATTTGAAACTCATTCCACAAAAAAGATATTTAAAAAATAAACAACCCCCCCAAAATGATTTTAATATTGTTATTTTCATAACTCAAAGAGAGAAGTGAGGACTGTCTCACCTTGCTAACGTGAAGGACAGGTTTTAATGCAACACTGGCCAAAGCTAATACTTTCAGAAGCAAAAGCAAGCCCTATTGCTGACTGTCTGTCTCAGTCCCTTACGGAGACAGGGCAGTCTATAAGGAATAGAATCTTATTTCTCCCAGATCTGAGGCTGAAGTCCAAGGTCAAGGCCCTGGCTTCTGAAGAGAGCCTTCTTGCTCCTGTGATGGTGTAGATGAAAGGGCAGAGAGGGAGAGAGGGGTGGACTGGTCCTGGCCTAGCAGCAGTCACCTCCTGTGAGGGAGGAGCGCCCGTGGCCCCGTGGGCACCATCACTATTGCAGTCCAGTCTCAGCCGAGTGTGGGAGGGCCAGGTGTTCAGACCCCACACTGCCAGGCCGGTTCTGCACGGCCAGTGTGCCCAGCCTCCCGCTGGGTGTGGGCTGCACGGATGGACTTCTTTCTGCTATTAGAATGAGACAGAGGTGATGGGGTGGGCCAGACACCAGAAGGTGCACAGTCACGCGGTGTCTCTCAAAGCCAGTGACTATGTGTGTGGCTGCAGGCCTGGTAGCTCACAGTGAGGCAGGCAAGGAACAGACCTGCACCACAGCCAGGGAGTCACGGCCTCTCTCTGCCTCGTGAGGAGCTCAGAAGCAGAGCCTCCAGCCCTGTCACCTCAGACGACTTCCAGGTCAGCCACGGTGACCTCCCGAGAGGGCCCCACCTGCAGAAACTGACTCAGTCAACAAACATCTATTGCTTTAAGCTACCGAGTTTCTGGGGAGATTTGTTACAGAACAATTAGCTAACTAATACCCTGCCGGACACGACACTGGAGAGATGGGGCCATGTCTAGATACAACTTTCATACTCAACAGTCAACCCTCACACTCCCTCTTTTAGGATCATCTGTATTTTAGGAAATAGTTAAAGAATATTCAAATTGATGAGGAAATAATATCCTTCATTTAGATGTAACTTTCTTTACTATACCAAAACTCATCTCCTGGACTTTTGACACCCTCTTTAATCTGGCTGGGCTTCCCTGCTTAACCCCATTTTGCACCACTTTTAGCAGAATCTGTGGTATAGCCAGGCTTCATTCTACACCAGGAGGACAATGTGTGACAACAGGTCCTAACGTCTCCATTCCAACACCCCGACTCTCCTTCAAAGCCCACCTACCTCGGTGACGGCTCCTTCCCAGGTGGAGTCTCTGGAGTTTGACCTATTTCAAATCTGGCCACTTTATGTGCCACTTATATACCAAGCTAACCTTCTTTCCTCCTCAGAATGATGAATTCCTAAAACCCAAGACTTCAACAACCGCTGGCTGCTCAGGGAATGCATTTGATTCACATAATTAAACTGTGGGAGGTTGATAGATGGGTCACAACAACACCAAAAGCATATACTGTAGACCCTTTATAGTTTACCAGCAACTTGTGCAAACTTTACCTAATTTAACCCCTAGGCCTCGGTCAGCTAAGCCATCCTTAAGGGCTGGATTGGGTTCCCCCAGCACTCATTTGCTCAAGTCCTGACCCACAGTGCCTCTGGCCATGACTGTACTTGGAGACAAGGCCTTTGGAGGGTGACTGAGGGAAAATGAGGTCAGTGGAGTGGGCCTGAATCCAGTAGGACTGGTTTTCCTGCAAGAAGAGATCAGCACACACGGAGGAAAACACGTGAGGATTCGGGAGAGGACAGCATCTGAGACCCTGATGGAGGCCTCAGGAAAATCCAAGCCTGGCAGGATCTCCGTCTCCAGGTCTGGGAGGAATCCTGTTGCTGTTGTTCCAGCCACAGAGTCTGTGGACACCAGGGAGTGAGCCGAGCACCTGGGTATTGCTGAGTTGGGCCGGCACCTGGCCCAGGATGCTGGCGCCATGTGCAGCCTCTGGCAACTCCAGCACTTGCTCTCTGGGAGCTCATTAAGCATGTTCTCCTTTATTTTAGGTCTCGACCTACTGTTAAACAGCTTTACCGTTTAAATTTTTTAAGATAAGAGTCCATGTGGTCAGTTAGGGCCAAGCAGAAAGGCTTGTTAATTGCTCTGTCCACAGTGACATGAAAAGACTTACCCTGAGCAGCTCCTGCCACGCTTCAGTTATCTCTGAGGACCGTGGAGGTTGAAAACTCACTGTGCTGTGTTCTAGGTGGAAACGTGCAGGTCACATCACTAACCTCACACCCCCACTCGGCTTCTTCATGACCCTCATTGCAGTGATGTAGGTTTGTAAAAAGCCATTTTATTTGGAGCATTAAGAAGAGGGTGAGGTTAGCAGAGATTAACTGACATGACAGCTGACATTTGCTTTCCGTGTGAGGAGCACACAAAACAAGATTGGAAAAATGTTAGTTGTTCAAACTGAAGGATGAGTATATGGGATTCATCTTAATGCGATGTACTCTTTTGTATGAATCTGATTTTTTTTTTCCTAATGGAAAAGCTCTCCAACAATTGGCCTTGAAGTTGCTGACTAGTATTTGGCAAACTTAATTAGAAATATTCTCAGGGACATAAATACAGAGAAATGATACACGGA